AATTAATTAATTAAATTTTTAGGATAGGATAGAATTGGGGTAACTAAGAATTGATTACATTTTGATGGTGATCCGGATTCAATTAATTAATTAATAAAATTTCCAGGATAGGTCAGAAATGGGGTAACTTAGAATTGATTACATTTTGGTGGTGATCCGGATCCAATTAATTAATTAATTAAATTTTTAGGATAGGTCAGAAATGGGGTAACTTAGAATTGATTACATTTTGGTGGTGATCCGGATCCAATTAATTATTTAATTAATTAATAAAAATTTTCACAGAGCTGCCTTGGCAAAGGTCTGCGCTCTCCGAGTGCTCTAGTTTATAAATGCAAGAGTTTTAGATTACCTGTAGCTTACACTTACACTATAAACTTTAATGCTATTTTGTACAATAAATGGTTTTGCAATATAATTCAGCTAAAATAAATTTTTGTGACAGCCACTGTAAGCATCTATTTTACAGTATATAGGATGATATATAGGATGACTCATTAGCAAGATGAAAGCGTTGGCTAATTAGCATATGATATACAACGTACTTGTAGTGAGAACAGTAGAAAATTAAACTTACTATCATAAAAATCCCAATAACCACATTCCAGGTAAAATTGGAAATAATTGCTAAGGTGCACTCGGAATGTGTGTTGTCATTTTGCCCGTAAGGTGCCGTTAGTACTTGGTTGTATAGCATGTTATTTTGTTGTGATTTCAGTCTATATTTGGTAATAAGGCAATCATGGATGATGACATGGAAGACATGGATGATATGTTTGCTAAAAAATCATCCAAGGCTAAAGGTAGGTTATGACTTATTCTCACTGTATTAAATCAGTTACTAATATGGTGATTAGCAGACTTATATCAATTTATATCACTATGTGGAAAAATATGTGAATCAATTTACGATAAAGGTATATCGTTCACTGTAACCGAATATCAAGTAGATTGCGTGCTAATGTTGCCTTTAGGAGGTGGCGATGGCAAAGCAGCCAATAAGAGACTGTCTGTAGAGAGGATTTATCAGAAGAAATCTCAACTGGAACACATCCTGCTACGACCTGACACATACATCGGTTCAGTCGAGCATGTCAAGCAGGTATTTTTGTTTATTATATTAATATTTATTATTATATTTTGAAGATTTTTCTCGGTCTGTTGTAAAAAGAAGAAAATCAATTATTGTCACATGTTCAATGAAGTCATGAGATGTTTGTGAACTTTTTCAGCAAATGTGGGTGTTTGATCCCGAAACCAACGAAGGCAAAGGTGGGATGGTGACGCGTGAGATCTCTATCGTGCCCGGTCTGTACAAGATCTTCGACGAAATCCTCGTGAATGCAGCCGACAACAAACAGAGAGACAAGAACATGAACTGCATCAAGGTCAACATCGACCCGTAAGCGAATTTATCTCGCTACGCGCTTCGTATTTACGTGGTTACCTTTTTGGCAGTTCCTGGAAAACCTGGCATATCCTTGAATTTTAATTGGTATTTTCCTGGTCTGGAAAGCCATCAAAGATAAGCTAAGGCTGTGGAAAGTACTGGAAAATGGGCAATTATTATGTTTGGTTCTAGAAAGTCTTTGAAATTAAGCTCACGTCTATCATGTATTGGGCAATAAATGGCAATCCTTCGTGTAAGAGATTCTTCACTGCTCAATGATTTGACAATAAGAAGCACAAAGAGTAAATTCACTTAAAAACTTGTGGTTGTGGTAAATTTACATTTTAGAAAACTTCTAGAAGACTTGTGAAGAAATGTTCCTAGGTATATTCTCCCCCTAATTTTACATTGCAACATGCTTTATATTTAAATTTAGTATGTTTTTTTTTTATCTAAGTGTATATTTATGGGATTTAACACAAAGATTGTGCGAGTTAAGATCGTTAAAACTTTCAGCGAAAACAACAAAGTCAGCATCTGGAATAACGGCAAAGGAATTCCAATCGTCGAGCACAAAGTGGAAAAGATCTTTGTTCCAGAGCTTATATTTGGCCACCTGCTTACGTCCAGTAACTACGATGACAGCCAGAAGAAAATCACAGGTATGGCTGTGTAGTCAGTCTATTGTGTGTTTAATAAAACCAGTACCAGTATTAAAATCGCATATATAACGTTTGCGATTATGATTATGATGTTAACGATTATGATAGTCTGAACTATAACAAATGTTCATCGTTACCAATTTTGTATTAATGAAAATGATCTTATTGTTAAGTACCACATAATTTAGTAGATTAAGGAGATGAAATGTCCACAATGTAATAAAACATTGAATTGTGGCCTTTTACTTTTTAGGGTGCAGCTACAAACACAATTTTGAATAAAATTCTCGAACAACTTGTGATTCAGTAATAAGCCATACTTACTGCATCAAGTGGTGATTTATAATTTCCTATTGTGGTTGACCTGCTTTTTTTACCATGAAGATTAATTTTATTATTTTTATTATAATTTAGTGATCTCTAACCGTATTCATTACAGGTGGTAGAAATGGTTATGGTGCAAAGTTGTGCAACATTTTTAGTACCAAGTTTACATGCGTCACTGCATGTAAAGAATACGGCAAAAAGTTTAAACAGGTTTGTATTGGGTTTTGTCATATCTAATATTTTATCTCATCAATTTTGTTTTGAAGAATTATTTTAATCTGAAAACTATCGCAGAATACGACCATAATATACAGTTGGATGTTGATGAATGCATTCATGTGTGCACTACCAAAAAAAAACATTAAAAAATCGGAATATAAGTCAAACAGGTAAAAACCAAAAGGTATCACTACTAAAAATTTGTAACTCTCAAATCATGAACATTAGACATATCGTGTTATCTCGCAGATAGAAACCTAGTAACGCATAGATATGCTGATTTCGTGACTTAGCTGGGACAGTGCTGTGGTAACAGTACGCACTGTGACACCGCCACCTCGACAGTGTGGGGGAGAATAGCAATGCAAGGGGAGCAAGAGAAACCCGACTAAATGCTCGTCCCAAGTTGCCCACAAACAGACTGTGGGGGCGACTCCCTCTCCCTCTTTCTCTCTCTCTCCTTCCTTCCCTAACTCCCCCCTTTCTCTCAATCTGTGTCACTCTGTCTTGCTTTTGCTCTATCATTCTTGCACTCGACTTCCATCTTTCTTCATCTTCTGCTCGTCTCTTTCCACCTCGCACCCATCGCCTCCCCTCGACCCCGGCGCTCTTCTGGGTGTTATGAGCGACCCGTCACGTGCGTTTTCAGACGTGGTCAGACAATATGACGAAGGCTGGCAAGCAAGGCGAATCCCCGGACGTACCAGGGTGCGACGACTACACGGAGATTCACGTTCTAGAGCCCAGAACCTGCCAGAAGTTTCGGCATGGAAGATGCTGCTGATGGTCCGATATACCTACCAGGTGGCGCTGTCACTGCCAAGCGAGGCAGGCGGGCGAGCGTAACGACATCCGCCGGCGGCGAACACGCCAGACGTCACAGGTACATGCCTCAACGGAAATCGATTAACCGGTGGGAGATCATGCAATAAAATCGTATTGTACACGTATGTGATGAGTACCGCATCGTATGTGGATACGACCATTGCTAGTAAGATCATTGCTGCATGCTTTGTCGCGTGTTGAACACTGTTTGGGGGATCAAAGTAGTAGTTGAATGGAAATAGATAGCATGTAAGATCAATAAACGCATGCTTCATATCAGGTGTTGAAACTGTTTGGATCGAAGGTAGTTTGAATAGAATTAATGTGAATCGAGGCAGAGTGCAGCGAGATAGTTAAAACGCTGGAAGCTGGGGACTCTATGTTATCGCTAGGTCATGATTCTGTGTCGACGTAATATTTTTCTGGAACAAGTATGGATGGAGGGAAATTAGTGTCGAGATGGTCTTATTTTCGTCACACCCCTATATAAGTTGGTTAACTGACTTTCCAGCATTTCTTGGGGTGCAAAGTATGTGGTGGCGAGAGTGCAGACCATTACCAATATTTATTTTTTTTATTGGATGTCTGGCAGAAATCTTTTTCTATTTTATGTGCCTAGTTACACTTCTAACACACAATAGGAACCTTGGTATCATTAAAACGAACGCCTCTGACTGTATCTGAATGGTTGATTGCATTCCGCTACGAATTTCTCTCGTCAGGTTAAAAACTTTCAAGACTATGTCCATCTCTACACGAAAGGCCGTACGTCGGAGGACGGCACTGATCTGAAGGTCTGCAACGAGCGCGTGAACGATCGCTGGGAGGTTGCCGTGGCATTGAGTGAGAAGGGCTTCCAGCAGGTCAGCTTCGTCAACAGCATCGCGACGACAAAGGTGAGGCAGCAGCAGCAGCAGTAGTAGCGTCGCGGAAACGCAAGCTACCTGTCGTTGAAGGTCACACAATCTTACGCTGTCATCTCGAATTATTGCTGTGTGACGAGAGGAGAAATTTGCCAAAAAGATGTCTAGCACACCCGTGCAAGCGTGCGGCAAATTAGAAACTCAAAGTAGATGGCACAGTAGTTCTAAACACTGACTAACATGCGATTGCCCATCAAAGCGGTGGGTAATCACTTTATGTGTATGTTTATAAGAGTTTTTCGTGGGTCCTAGAATTCCTAGAAAGTCCTGAATATTTTAAAAAGAACCTAACTTTTTAAACCTTTTTAAAATGACCTTTGTGTAAGAGTTTGTTGACTAATCTCTGGTTGGAGAAAACGAGGCACGACGATTATACTCGGCTAAAACTGCGCAGTCATTGAAACTGGACCTTTTCCGGACCGAGGTCCTGAAAACCGAATTAATCTGTTTTGCAGTATATGTGTACGAACACTTATCACTTCGGTATATACTACCTAGTGTATATATAGTCATGTTATTTCTCTTCAGGGCGGTAGACATGTTGACTATGTAGGTGACCAGCTAGTCGGCAAGCTGATGGAGGTCGTGAAGAAAAAGAACAAAGGAGGGGTCAACGTGAAGCCTTTCCAAGTACGATTCATTCCATTGACTGCTAGCACGCTGTTTGTTTTCTTGAACACTCCGCTCTGGAGTCGTCAGGGTAGTGTTCGCGGATCTGTCATCAGGTTAAATTGCATTTAGAGTTAAAAAGAAGTAATGTCGATCGAAGTAAATGTAACATGTTATTAAATTGTTAATTACAATTATGGTTGGATGACATGATTATTAAATTGTTAATTACAATTATGGTTGCATGACATGATTATTAATTGAGAATATTATTAACGGTTAACACTGGATCGCATCAAAGTGTATGTGAAGTTTGTGGAAGTAAGAGCGACGTGTTACCATTTCGGTAATCTCTTCTCTCCAGGTGAAGAGCCATATGTGGCTGTTTGTGAACTGCCTGATCGAGAATCCAGCATTCGACTCGCAGACAAAGGAGAACATGACCTTGCAGGCAAAATCGTTTGGCTCTAAGTGCCAGCTCTCTGACAAGTTTGTCAACCAGGTAAGGTATTCTACGTCAACCAAGTATATGTGAATCTGTGTCAATCAAACAGTGACAGGTAAATCTCTCGCAACCATATGTATATATGTGGTCAGGGTATCACCCTCACCTGCATTAAAACTAGTATATTTTCCAGGTGAAGCTTCTAATAGAAACAAGTAGCAGCACAATAGCAGTGGCACTATGGTTCGTGAATGGCGTCACATGCATGCAAACAAATTACATTAATTACATGCCTCTACACTTATGTTAATTGCATCTCTGTTCTCACTGCTGTGTTGCCTCTGTGCGTGGAGCAGGTGCTAAAGATAGCAGGGTTCGTAGCGGGTCTTCCAAAGTCTTATAAGTACTTATTTTGCCAAAAATAAAATAAGGGCCCTTATTAGTACTTAGTTTTCCGAGAAAATACTTTAGCAAAAGTACCTAATAGTCCTTATTTTTTTATAAACTGTTCTCGACTTAGAGTAAGAATTGTTGTATATATAATACGGAATAATTAAATCTGCTGTGCAATTGTGTATATATATAAATATTATTAGTGTATCGTGTGTCGGTGATCTATCAAAAATCGCGTAAAAAAGTCTTATTTTGGCCTCCAGAAAGAGTCTTATAAGTCCTTATTTCAACATGTGTCTTACTACTATGAACCCTGGATAGGCATCGTCAAGGGTTTCGTCGGGGGTGACTCCCCTTCCCACCGAGGTCCAAGGTTGTGTGCTTGTATGTGTGCTCATGCTTGTATTCTGTGCGGCGCAGGTGATGAAGATAGGCATCGTCGAGAGCATCATGTCGTGGGTGACCTTCAAGGAGCAGACGCAGCTCAACAAGAAGTGCGCGGCCGTGAAGCGCTCCAAGCTGCGCGGCGTTCCCAAGCTGGATGACGCCAACGATGCAGGTAGAGACACGTGCACGCATGTGACAGGGACACGTGCACGCATGTGACAGAGACACGTACACGCGTGTGACAGAGACACGTGCACGCGTGTGACAGAGACACGTGCACTACGTGTCTCTGTCACACGCGTGCACGTGTCTCTGTCACACGCGTGCACGTGTCTCTGTCACACGCTGTCTCTGTCACACGCGTGCACGTGTCGCTGTCACACGCGTGTACGTGTCTCTGTCACATGCGTGGGTGTCACACAGGTAGACACGCACATGCATGTGATAGAGACAGGTGTCACGCAGGTAGAGACGTGCACGCATGTGATAGACAGGTGTCACACAGTGGGGGGCACATATGACGGAGACGGGTGTCACACATGGGCATGTGTGACAGACGGATCATGTCACACAGGGTCATGTTTGACAGACGGATGTCACACGCGGGCACTTGTGACAGACGGATGTCACTCGGGGTACATGTGACAGAGACGTATCACAAGGGTCCACGTAAATGACGGAGGAAGGGGGCTGTAATCTAGAGGTCTGCAACGATGCACATGGGCAGTAGATGAACGGTGCCTATTAAACATTAAACACGCGTGGGTATTCAGTTGTAATTCAGTTATCATCAACAACACATAGTGGTCAGTAGATGCATGCGTGACCGTGATGAGTCGTCAGGGTTCGTAGAACACAGAAACCTGGATAAGACCTGAAATTTTAAAATGGTTTTTTTCGACACCCAGCCAAATCAATCAATCAGCCAATAAATCATCAATTGGTCAGTCAGAACGTTAGTCGTAGGTCATTGTGTCCCTCATGGCGCATCACTGTAAGTGTTCTGCATTGCGTGCACACTAATGGGTTTTCGACACCCAGCCAAATCGATCAATCGGCCAATAAATCATCAATTAGTCCGTCAGAATGTTAGTCGCATCACTGTAAGTGTTCGGCGTCACCTTGCAGGCACGAAGAACTCGAACGAATGTACGCTGATCCTGACGGAGGGAGACTCGGCGAAGACGCTCGCCGTGTCCGGCCTCGCAATCGTCGGTCGCGACCGCTACGGAGTCTTCCCGCTGCGAGGCAAGGTGCTCAACGTGCGGGAGGCATCGCACAAGCAGGTGGGTGTGCGCCGGACCCCGTAGGATAGTGTACTAACTCTAATATCTCGCGAACGATTTGAGTTACATTTTCTAAAATTCTAGATACATATAAACACATGTCTTAGCTATGGTCTCTATAAATTTTGAGTTTATTGACGCACGAATAGTTTAAATAATTACCAAAAATATACGCACGGTATCGTCATAGGATAATATATACGCGCGGCTATGGCCCGTAGGATAGTTTACTAACTCTAATATCTCGCGAATGATTTGAGTTACAGTTTCTAAAATTCTATATACATATAAACACATAATGTCTTAGCTATGGTCTCTGTGAATATTGAGTTTATTGATGCACGATTAGTCAATATATTAGCAAATATATGCACACGGAAGTGAATTACAGATGAGTAAATGTTCGAACCACCTGACTCCGAACCCCCCTACCGCGCCTGCCTGTACTGTGTGTACTGGCGCATTGTACAGCTGGTACATGTATTGGCATCGTATACAGGCGGGCGCGGTAGGGGGGTTCGGAGTCGGGTGGTTCGAACATTTAATCATCTGTAATTCACTTCTAAGGAATATCTGCATTGGGCACCCCTTCTAATAATTATAGTACTGCCATAAGCTACAACTGTGCCAAGTTTGAGACTTGTCACTCCTGTAACGATTCGGCCTATATTTTGCAATAAGGGACCTGACTATAATAATACTAATGATGATATTGATGGTATTAGGGAAGCGTAGGCAAACAGGTTCATAGCAGGTGACAAGTGTGCGATGATGAGATACTGGCGCTAATAATGATGATAGCGATTATGATGATGATAATAATCATGATCATAGGGCTGATGAGGTTACAGCTATAGTTTCCCAACCTGATCAACATGCTCAACACAGATCTTCTGGTTTTGATGCTGTCATGAATAGCTCTTCTTGCATATTGTTGCTAGGTCAGTCAAACTAGACCAACTTGTGCACGCCAAATTGTTCCAGAGTCCTCCTGATCGTGTGATACGTCTATATAAGCATGTTTTTTCAATCGCAGATCATGGAAAATGCAGAGATTAACAACATCATCAAGATAATGGGTCTGCAGTACAAAAAGAACTACAGCACGATGGAAGATCTAAAAACACTCAGATACGGTAGGTTGCCGGGGTTATGCATACAGCATGTCCTCCGTGAAGTGTAACTTCAAACAAGAGCCCTTCCGATTTGTGCAGCAAATATTTCAAATGCTGACAGGAAGAATTTCCTATGTTATATATTTATAGATAAACTAATTTTGTGGAGATAAAAAAGAGGGTAGGGTTTGAGAAGGGATGGATATTCTATTCCAGCTTTTAATAGTAAAAAGTCGGTCACCGCTCTGTGATATTCTGGTGGTTAGATGAGAGGTATAGCAATAGATCAATCGATAAAGTGATATTGAGACTAGAGTATACTGATTGATATTTGCTGCTAGGCATTCGCTGTTGGTTGCAGCTTTTAGTACATCCAGCAGTCCCGTACCACTTAATATAGTAGTGTACATGAGTTAAATGCAGTTCGTGTGTAAATGTAATAAAACGTTAGAGAATGTTACGTGTTCAAGTAAGTCAATGTTCAGTTCACTTCGACTTTCAAAATCGGCATTAAATTAAGTAGTTTGCGAGTGTAAATATAACAATACATAATAGAAAGTGACGTCATGCACACTCCTTGGTATAGCCTTCCTACTTCCTTTTTGTGATGATGATTATTATTTATATTGCGGGTGTAAATATGTAGCACGTTCACGTTAAGTCAACATTGATTCACGGCCCGCTGCTCTTGCTCGTAGGTCGCTTGATGATAATGACAGATCAGGATGTTGATGGATCGCACATCAAAGGTCTGCTTATCAACTTCATCCACCACAACTGGCCCAGCCTGCTGAAGTTGCCCTTCCTAGAAGAGTTCATCACGCCCATCGTGAAGGTAGGAAGAAGGGCTAGAGAGCGTGGTGCTGCTATTCTGAGTGCAGGTGCATTCCAGAACTGGAATAGAACATAAAGAGCAGCTTATTAGTTCTAATTATTAACTGTTAACTATCCAGGGATGAGATTCTTCCGCGGATCCGCGGAAATCCGCGGATTAGACAGTCCCAGGGGTCGATTTTGTGAAACGTCTAAATTCGTTGAGAAAATTGGGAGGGGGTTCCCATTTTACGATTTTAATTTTTTTCCCCTTAACAGCACCTGACTGTAGACTGTAGAGTGTAGACAGTAGGCTGACAGCGAAGTATACAGTTTATCTGTTTTTGCGTACCAGAAAAGAAAATCCTCGTTCACAGGCTGCAGTAGAGGGGCAAACATTTGAGGTAGCTGATCACGTAACGACCATGCCTGGCCTGGGGGCCGGGTTTACATGTTGCTGCGTGCATGTTGTGTGCATGACTATGCACTGATTGTTCCATTCGCATCGTGTTTTTTTCATTCAAATCTGGTCGCAGCAAGGCAGCTTATGTCTGAGTAAAACAATGCAAGCGACGGGTGGAAACAGAAAAATATCATTATGTCTAGACATTTAATAAAAAAACTTGCCCTATTTTCAGCCCCCTGATTTCCTATTATAGTTCGTTTGTTCCTTTTGACAACTTGAAAAGGTGATTCAAGAGTCTCCTATAATTTGTTCAGAATAGCTTAGAATGTACCAAATTGCACCATTCTTTTAAAAAAAATTCCGGGGTAGCATGCCCCCGGACCCCCCTAGCATGGCGATGACCTACGGTCCTCGCATTGCTCGCTCCTTTGTTTGCTAATTAAAATTTCAGCTGAAAATTAAATTATCAAATCTCATCCTTGACTATTATTGCTAATTATTTGTCAACTAACTTTATTGTATTGTGAAGATGTGCAATATAAAGATAGTGTTACAAATTTCTGATCACTTATCAATATGATGGTTATGATAATTGCGTAGATATTATTTGCAAAATTATCTATTCTACTTTAACTGTACCGATTATACACACTGTCACTGAGTTATGCACAAAGACATGTAGTCAGCTCTCTGTTTTACTTGCCAATTAGGTTTCTAAAGGGAAACAAGAATTTCCCTTCTTCAGTTTGCCAGAGTTTGATGAATGGAAACTAGTAACTGAAAATTGGCACACATGGAAAGTAAAGTACTACAAAGGTTTGTTTTAGAATTTTTTTTTAAATGCTGTCATTTTATTGCTATCTGTGATGCTCTGTCATATAGTATGGTATCAGCTAGGTATCGTCTTTTCTGTGTTAAGCAATCTTAATTCATCCAATATGCATGCATTCATATATCAAAGTAATCAGTGTGTTGTGTGCGTGCGTGTGTGTGTTGTCTGTGCGTTCGTGCGTGCGTGCGGGCAGGCGGGCGTCCGGGCACATGTATGCACGGGCTCCATGCATGCGGGCGTGTGTGAGTGACTACAATGATAATTATGACAATATATTATTTAATATTTATATTATACATATTAATATTAATACTACAGTGATTGAGACGAACAGTTGAAGCAAGTTGTCTTTACTAACCATGTAGGTCTGGGAACCTCCACATCAAAGGAGGCCAAGGAATACTTCTCAGACATGGAGCGACACCGAATCAAGTTCAAGTATCAAGGAACGGAGGATGATTCCTCGATCGTGCTGGTACAGGCGGCTGTTATATTTCATGGAAAACGTGAAACGTAGTGGATTTTTAAATTCCATTGTCGAGGGATCGAAACTGTTGGATATTGGTTATCGCACTGAAAAGTCGAGAACAATTAGCTGTTATTATGGTTGGAACTAGAAATCGCTTGAAGTTGAGCTCTTGGATATCCTGTCTGTGAGGCAAGAAAATATGTTCGATTGAGTTTGTTTACTAATCTCTGATTGAACCATACAAGACACTAAATTGTATTTCGTTAGAAACTCACTGTCGTGGAAAATGTACCTTTTAAGTCCTGGAAAACTCCTAAAAATCACTAGAAAGGACTTCCTAAATTTGAAGGCATGTTGATAAACGTTGTTTGAATCATGTTTAAGGCTTTTGGTAAAAAGAAGATTGAAGAAAGAAAAGAATGGTTGACTAATGGGTTAAGAGAACGAAAAGACAGGCGTGAGATCGGTCTATCTGAGGTATGCAGATATTCTTAATATTTACCTTAGTTTAGTGTAGTATAGTTTAGTTTCACAACATCCATATGCATGAAGTATAATCAATCTTTAGTACATGAGCATCACCAAAGTATGCCAGTACTATAGTACTTTCTATTAGTATTAGGTATGCATGGTGGGAAAACTGTTGTGGTCAATTAGTAGTGCATAACGGTACCAACTTCCTGTATATTTCTTATTATGCCTACTGTCTGACTGTGTAACATGTGTTATGTAATAGAACATGGGATTGTGCAAATTCCAATAAATCGTTGAAAATTCAGGAGCTTGAACAGCAAAAGCTATAAGCATACGTTCGTAACTAAATGACATCAAAACTGCCACTATAACTCTTGCTGCCTCCTGTGTAGATCTACCTGTATGAGAAGGATACAAAGGCGGTTACCTACACTGAGTTTGTCAACAAGGAACTGATTCAGTTCAGCATTTACGACAATGAGCGCTCGATCCCGTCACTCGTCGACGGTGAGTGAATGAAAAATTAAATCCTAAAATTTCAATGGGTTGGATACGTATGGGATGGGGTGGGGTTACGTTAAGTATTAAGTATTAAGTAACGTGTATTGAACCAAATCGGTGAAGGCTCGAGGTAGTTTGCACAATAAATCGCATTGTTGGATGATATTCCTAGCAGCACTGTCAATACCGTGTCTGTGTACGAGTCCCTGTCCATTATCATGGTGGCCCTGTTCATTATCATGGTGGCCCTG